CCAACCGGGCCCTGAGAGAGTGAAGGAGAGAGGAGACGCGAGAGGAAAGAGACAGAGGAAGGAGAGAGCAGAGTGGGGAGAGGGGAGAGAGGAGAGAGGAGGGAGGGAGTTTAGAAAATGCCTTAGGAATCACAGCGGTAGGTGTGATGGTCAGAACTGAACTAATTCAGAACTGCATTATCTGCAGTGTGTGTACATTGCACAGTATGTTACACAGTGGGAGGAGTATGACATGTGTGCTACACTCTGTGTTGTAGAGTGTAATGTACACTGTGTGTACTGACAGGGTTTCCTTTGGGTCCGTCGTCTCCAGGGGGTCCCTTCACTCCTGCGGGTCCAGCTGTACCGGGCTGTCCTGCCTCTCCTTTCTCACCACGCTCCCCACGAGGACCCTGCCATTGGACAACAGAGGCTGTCACTCTGACACACCCAGCAGGCCACTGGACGATTCAGTTATGAATTGAGTTGTGATGTCTGACCTTAGGACCGGGCTCTCCTCCTACACCAGGTGGTCCAGACTCTCCAGGTTCTCCCTGCAGACAGAGACAGACAGGCAAGGTTAGACAGACCCCCTGGCGCAGAAACACAGAGACACACGCAGGAAAGCACACAAGGACAGACAGCCGCTGCTGACTCACACAGCAGGCAAGGTGAGGATTCAGGAAACACCCACTCAAAGACAGCAGTGGAACAGGTCAGGGTGAGCTCTGGTCAGGCTCCTCCGCTCCCTGGGGAATCGTCTTTCACTGAACCCCCAAACCCCTGAGCCCCTGAGCCCCTCAGAAGCCTCACCTTCTCTCCTTGGTTACCAGGGTTGCCCAGACCTCCTGGGGGGCCTTGAGGACCCTGAGGGAGGAACAGAGACACAGATTAAGGACCAGACAGCACACATCAGAGAGGTTACAACTGTGATCTGTAATTACCATGTAACTAACACTCATGACCGTGTAATGAATGTGTCACTGGTGCTGTTGAGAAAGGTTGTTATAAGGGTGTTATAACACCTCGGCTGGTTGTTCTTGGATTAAATGAGGTTGTTTTGCTAGTATAACACGGTTAAAGCGGTGTTATAACACAGTTGTTACAGGTAGTTATTAAGGTGTTATAACACTCCTGCTGGACGTGTTTGGCGTAAGGATGGGTCCTGGGTTACGCTGCTGTAATGTTGTTATAAGGGTTTTATAACACTCATGTTGGATATGTTTGGTGTAAGGATGGGTCCTTGGTTACACTGCTGTAATGTTGTCATAAGGGTGTTATGAGGCTCCTGTCTGACGTGTTTGGTGTGAGGATTGGTCCTCAGTTACACTGCTGTAATGTTGTTATTAAGGTGTTATAACATTCCTGCCTGACGTGTTTGGTGTAAGGATAGGTTCTCAGTTACACTGCTGTAATGTAATGTTGTTATAAGGGTGTTATAACACTCCTGCCTGACGTGTTTGGTGTAAGGATGGGTCCTCAGTTACACTGGTGTAATGTTGTTATAAGGGTGTTATAACACTCCTGCCTGACGTGTTTGGTGTAAGGATGGGTCCTCGGTTACACTGCTGTAATGTTGTTATAAGGGTGTTATAACATTCCTGCCTGATGTGTTTGGTGTAAGGATGGGTCCTCAGTTACACTG